CACACACACACGCACACACACTCTCTCATACATATATACACACACACACACATACACACAGGCGAGAGTTAGAAACACCTGCAGAGTGTTAGAGACACTGGAGACTCACTCACTCACACACACACACACAGGTTTGTTTTTGTGAAAAGTGGGGACATCCCATAGGCGTAATGGTTTTTATACTGTACAGACCGTATATTCTATTGCCCTACACCAACCCTACCCCTAAACCTACCCCTCACAGGAAACTTTGTGCTATTTCAGATTTTCAATACACTCCATTCTGTGTGATTTATAAGCGTTTTGAAAAGTGGGGACATCCCATAGGCGTAATGGTTTTTATACTGTACAGACCGTATATTCTATTGCCCTACACCAACCCTACCCCTAAACCTACCCCTCACAGGAAACTTTGTGCTATTTCAGATTTTCAATACACTCCATTCTGTGTGATTTATAAGCGTTTTGAAAAGTGGGGACATGGGGTAATGTCCTGAAAAGTCACCTTCTCCTTGTAATACCTATGTCATACCTTTGTCATTATACAAATTTATGTCCTCATTTGTCACAAAAACGTGCACACACACACACACTCTCATACACACACTCACCCGTGCCGCCCGATCCGAAGCCGAAGCCTGTGGGTGCAGATGTCGTGGTCGCGGCTCCGAAGCCTGTGCCAGGAAGACCTGTAACCGTGACAACAGCTGGTGAGCGCCTGTAACCGTGACAACAGCTGGTGAGCACCTGTAACCGTGACAACCGTCTCAGCATAAAGCGGAGCATCTGAAGGAATGCTGGGAAAGCATGACTGTCGATAAGCACATGCATGTGATGCTGATGATTAGGGCGTGGCCTAATGCTTCGAGAGTCGAACTTGTAAAGCAAAGGTCGTGGGTTCGAGTCTGGATACAGGTGGGAGTGAATGACCAGCGCTCTCTTCCACCCTGAGACCCTCGAGCAAGAACCGGACCCCCGCTGCTCCCCGGATGGTGACATGCAGAGCGCACGCCGAGTGTGGGAACCATACCGAACTACACGTCACGTCCTTTCCTTTCCTTCAACTTTCACGATTCGATTCCCATTCACAAGCTTGCAATTTTATTCAATTACAAATTCGATTCGCTATCGATCAGGTGCAGTACATGCCTCTCAACTAATGCGGTCAAATATACTCGAGAGCTTGGTACTACATTACTATAACATGGAAGCTTAAAATGAACTGATTTGTATACAAACACCTAAATTACACTCAATGAAGTTCTTATAATAATGAAGTTACAAATACATCATAATATTTCTACTCCCAATTCGTATTTTTTAATTATAAATAGTGGCTGTCATAAAAACTCGACGGATTTATTCAAACATAACTTAACATCGAAGAACACTAAAATGATAATGACTGTTATATGGTGCATGTTGTTAAGAACAATGCTCCTCTCTAGAGTTCAGTTTCTTCTGAGGTGAACGTGATGTTATTGTTTACAAGCGGCTGGTTATATTGGCATCTTACACACAATACTGATTGCAGTAAGTTGTACTCTTTCTTTTAACTTACCTTCGGATGTTCATTCATGTTTATTTCAGCTGGCGCAGGGATCTGTCACTCACATTAAACAGCATTTATTGTCTGAATATTGTAAGAAAATAGTTTCATATCTAAAACATCAAAGCACAAAGCTAATTGCCATTTATTGGATGTGAGGCGCGATATAATGCTCCGTTCATTTAACTGAAAACAGGCCTAACTAATCGATTCTTGGGCTTTAAGAATCGATATCGTCTTGTAAAAATAAAAATGATTAAAATCGAGAAATCGATATTTTAGCCAGCCCTAGTAATGACGTCACGAACACGAGTGACGAGAGCGACTGCGCCGTTTGCCGCTGGATGAGGATGATTTACACGAGAAGCTTCATCTTCATCATCATCAGACACGAGTGAAGAGATACGCGTCAGAGCTGCTGCTGCGATCACTCAGAGCTAATCGACTTCTGACTGATTCCTCATGTATTCATATATTCTACAGCTTTTCATATGAAACTATGAATGCTTATCGGAACTGAGAAACAGAGTTTAATTGAACTCACTCGCGCTGCTGGACGCGCCGCCGAAGTTGAACGCCATGTTTCCGGTCCCGCCACGACACAGTCCGACCGGAAACAGAAACCATCAACAAGTGGTTCCTAGGCGCGCACAGTCCCTGCGTGAAAGAAATCACTGATGACTGAGAATTAAAGCGCAAACACACTCCTGCAGGACGAGCTCAACAAAGCTCTCTGTGAATTGATGTCTGCGGTTGTTTGTGTTCTAGTAAAGAGCACTGATGATGAAACACGAGAAAACTAACAGCACCTTCATGAACTCGTCAATGAACGCAACCCGCTTAATGGTTCAGTGTTTTCATTCTAATGGTTTTCTATGTGAAACTTTGCACATTGCCTTTAGATTCTGGCTTCATCTGCTTGCCTGTACAAAATATACATCATCAATAAGATGTTTACTGAATTTCGCCTTTTAATATCTGCGTTTTACTACATTGCTTCTCGATGCAAACTGCGTAAAAATAACTGGCGGCCAGTGGAGCAAAGCTTCGTTTTGACCTCCAGGTGGGCGTTCCTATACGGGTGTGACGTCACGTGGAAACGACCTTTTTTTTTTTTTTTTTTTTTTTTTTTACGGGCGACAGATGATTCGCTTCCTGAAGGAAATGAAATCTGATGAAAATAGCACGCAGCACGCTATATAGCTCACCTACGTGCGCTTTGGGGGCGGTGCTAAGCGCTATTTGGCCAATGAATTGGCGTGATGGTATAAGGGCTTCAGACATTCGTCACACCGAAGGGATCAGTTTTACACAGGTCTTCAGTGAATCGAAGCTTGTTTTGTTGCAGAAATGATGATTTTTTGGTTGCTTTCCAAACTGCGTCACGAAGTGCACGAGAGATGAACTTCATGATGATCACTCTGGAGTCCTTCTGCTCCTTCCTCTTGGGACCCAGGCGATGTACTGCCTCTATGCCATCCACAAGCCTAGATTTCTCCTCCGGTAACAAAGCTTGGCAGATCTGTATGACTTCCCTCCGGACGTCCATATAATTCGAGGTTCCATCGCCTAGAGTACGCTTCCAAATCGTACACACGCTTTTCGATCTGATCGACCGAAGTAGTGTACTTCTGTAACTTTTGTTCCATGCAGGACACGTTTTCTTTAAGCATAACAACTTCAGCACAACTTGATTCAATTTTTTTCTCCAATTCGTCCAATCTAGCACCCAACTTTTTTTCAATTCCGTCTGCCCGATCGTTAATTAGCTGGGAGAGCGTGGTGATGATACTGTCACCATCCACAGTGATTTCTTGTCTTCTTTCTCTTTTCGGAGCAGGGGATTCCCTAGGAGTAACTGGCAATTTAGGGAAGTCTTCCTCATTGACAGGAATCAACTGTTCCACATAATCATGACAAGCGTCCATTAAGACATTGGTAGCAGCAAGAGCGTTAGCACCTGTGTTCGATCCTTTTCTTTTTTGCTTTAAAGACATGTTTCCACCACAAGTCAACCAAGTATCATATAAACAACTAACTTAAGTTGAACGACAGAAAACTAAGTCTTTATAAAGAACAAATAACTACTTTTTCACGGTCAAAATAAAAGTTGGCAAAGCAGAGCTAATTAAAGCACGTCTTGTCTCTGCGCCATCTCGATGCCGCCTCACGTGGAAACGATCAACAGCTCAGGAGGCTTGCGCGTGACGTCACCAGGCGCTGTCCACGGCGGTGGTGCTGAATTATTTGATATCGATGGCTCGACAATCGATTATTCATTCTATGCACGGGCTGCTTCACTGGTTATGTGAGAAAACGGTGTTCTTTATAAAAGAAGTGTTGATTTTAAATAGACACAGAACTCTTTCCTGTTAGAAAGCAAGGAACTTGCGTGACACTTTTACTTCCGCTTTGCAACATACATCACATCAGTGAAGAAAACCAAGAAAAGTATATGCCCAGAGCACCTCCCAGTGGTCACCACATAAAATACAAGGGAAAACATTTACATGAGACACGGCTTAATAATTTAACAGCTTTTAACAGAAGAGAGAGAAAAATAACAAATAGTGCTTTCCAATAGTGCCAACAAGAAGCACTTCAGAAATAGATTAAATTGCATTTATCAGAACTCATGGGATCTTACAAAAATAATCCAAATCGCAAACTAAATCCAACCCTTAGGGATTAAAGTTCCGTCAGTTCATAAAGAGAGTCACGTGCTTCATTCCTGAATGATTCAGCCGTTCGAACGAATCAATTGAATGAATGATTCAGTGATAAAATCAGTGACTTGCTGCCACCTGCTGGCGGATTTACTTTCATTTTTAGCATATTTCAATTATTTGAATCATATTTCTGTATTCAAAATTGTATATTTAAAACATTAATCTCCACACGATTGTATGAATGTAATTGCACTCGTGCCTCCTCCGAGCCTCATTAAACGTCTGAAAATACACCCATTCTTCTGTGTACCCTCTGTAGTACAAATTTATTTATTAATACTAATTTCATATGATTGGTAACTTATTTTTCTTATTCTACATATTGTTTTAAATAGAAATGTTAAAAAGATTATAAACATACATTTTTGTATTCGGCAGATGAAAAAGATGCCATTAGAAAGGTAAAAAGAAAATACTGCTGTAAGTCACTTTAAGGAGTCAAATGTCAGCTCGTATTAGGAAGGATAATTATTGATTATTGATCAGAAGGTGCTCCTAAATGTTTAAATTAGGACAAGCGCTCCTGATTACAAGAAACACTGCTCTTAATCTGTGTGTGACCGGTACGGCTGACGAAACATTGTCAAAGGATTTTTTTTTTGCTTTAACCCCTGCAATATAATAAGAAGTAGAATAAGACAAATAAGTTACCAATCATATGAAATTAGTATTAATAAATGAATTTGTACTACAGAGGGTACACAGAAGAATGGGTGTATTTTCAGACGTTTAATGAGGCTCGGAGGAGGCACGAGTGCAATTACATTCATACAATCGTGTGGAGATTAATGTTTTAAATATACAATTTTGAATACAGAAATATGATTCAAATAACTGAAAGTATAGGCTAAAAATGAAAGTAAATCCGCCAGCAGGTGGCAGCAAGTCACTGATTTTATCACTGAATCATTCATTCAATTGATTCGTTCGAACAGCTGAATCATTCAGGAATGAAGCACGTGACTCTCTTTATGAACTGACAGAACTTTAATCCCTGAACCCTGGCTATTTTATATAATGAGTGCGCGAACCCACAACCTCATGCCCAAACATAGCCCTCATCACTAACTGGCAGCATGCCTTCACTGGCCTTTGAATGGTTCATTAATATTATCATGATATATTTCCCAGTGTCTTCATTTTCTCCACAACCAGCAGCCGCATCATATATTGATGTAAATCACTAGTTTCTGTTACTGGATGACCTACTCAATAAAAACCCAACAAGAGAAACTTAATCAACAGCTACTATTACAGAGAAAGAGAGGAGTTCAGAAGAGATGCCTCGACAATATCAGACCAACAAGATCTACATGCTGCTGCATTTGCTGCCGTGCCGGCTAACTTTTCTTTTTTCCCCTAAAGTTTTAGTATATGGCTCTGCGGCGGAGCTGTCTTTGATTTTGCAGAACTATTATATTCGTATAGAATGAGATGTAAAGAGCTGTGAACTATCTAAAGTGATCAGGTTTAGTTAAGAGTGGTCCAGACTAACCTAACGACAGCAGGACTCACTGAAGGGGTCCCTAACTAAGAAGCTTTGGGGAAACACAGCCCTGCTCGTCACTGAGCAAATCAAAATCAACAAGTTTGAACATTAATTAAAAGTTTTATTAACATTGCATTGTTTACAAAACCAGCAGAAACACAAAGATGAATGTAAATCATCAGATGCTGAGCTGTTCCTCAAAAAGAGGCAAGCTCTAAAACACTTCATGTGGCTTAATGCATCAAAACAGCGTTTTCTGAATGACTAAACTCAATAAAGACTGCTAATAAAGCATACTATTTACAGACAAACAGATATGAGCCATAATACAGACTCAACGTGTTTAATTACACATTAAGCGTTTTCCTCCCATAGAAAACTGTTATAAGGAAAGCTCTTTATGTGGCTTAATGCGTTAAAACAGTGTTTTTTAAAAGACCAAACTCAAGTTTGTCTGAACATAGTATGAGTTATAATGTTTACTGAGTTAGGTCTTTTAAAAACACTGTCTTAACACATTAAGCCACGTAGAGTTTTCCTTATAACGGTTTTCTGTGGGAGGAAAACGCTTAATGTGTAATTAAACGCGTTGCGTTCATATTATGGCTCTAATCTGCTTGTCTGTACATTATATGCTTTATTAATAATGTGTTTCTGCTTTATTAATCATGCACAGCTTTAATGCATTAAGCCACGTGAAGAGTTTTAGAATGTCCCAAAAGAGAAACCCTTCCTGCAGCGGAAGCAGAACCTCAGGTCTGGGATCAGATCTCTACAGCGAGGTTATCTCCGGCCCGTGCGCTTCATCTGCGTCCTCTTCTTCAGCTCTGTGAGGCGCAGCTTCTTCTTGGATCTCTGTGGTTCTGGAGGCTGCAGCTGGACCGCGGGATCTCTGGGCTCGGCTGGAGTCGAGAACACGTCGTCCGTCACGTCTCTCGCCAGCACCTCCTTCTCCTCCGAGCGCTTCTCCTTCAGGATCTGCTTCACCGTCTGCCGCTGCTTCTGCCGGGCCGCTGTGGCCTGTCGGATCACGCGCCGGTGCTGGACACACATCACACACAACACCAGCCTGAGACACGGTTTATTCACCACGTTTGACCGATTCTCCGTTTTTATGATTTTTAACTAGTCCACTTCAAAATGTAACTACAACATGATTCAATAACTTGTTCTTTATTAACCCTCTAGTTAAAGAAAATTCTACTTCCAGAGCAGCACACATGAAGCTGTCGATGTGATGTAAAGCACTTGTTTAATAGCTTTGCAGAAAAGATGCATGAACTACAACTACATCTCGTCTTATACATGTTATATGTTCAGAAATAATACGAGGAAAATGCGTTTAAAAGTGCTCAAAAGTCAAGGTTATTCAAATGCAAAACAGCTGAAGGTATAACAGCAGTAGAGTATTATTAACTATAAATGTTCTGTAAAACAACAGCAGCTTTCAGTCTGTCACTGTGATGCAAACATGAAATATCAGACACACAGTAGTAGTTACAGGTTTTTTATTCGCTTGCGCTGCTTTGCCATAGTTTGTTCTGTGTAAACATGGACGTGTTTGACTGCTGCGCTCGCGTCTCTTGCATGAAACGGTATCCTAGAAGCACTGCGCTCAAGTTAAGAGAAGTTCACTCATCTTCTTGCATGTGTTTGCTCTTCCTCTGCCGCGTCGCATCTTTATCAACACAAAAGCTCATTCTGTGTGAATGGTGTCTAGTGATATGAGCGCGTCACTCGAGCGGTTAATCATTATGTTCTCTTCACTGTTATCATTGGCATATTGACAGTGTCTAATTCTAACGTTTGGTAATATTTCTATTCAAAATCGCAATACTTTGATTTCTGAAAAATGAAATCGTGGCAAAACATTAAATTCGAAGTAAATTATCAAATGTGAAGAATGTCCCAGGCCTAGTGAGGAAGAGCGCGGTGCTGAAGAGTCTTACCATGTTCGGAGACTGGAAGTGAGGGTTCTCGTACAGCGTGGGTCCACCGAAGCTGCCCTGGAAGACTTTGATGAGATTCAAGACGAACCGCGGGCCGATCTCCACCAGAGACGCATCTTCTTCGATGATCTGCGGACGAGAATCACAGAATAATTCAGAAACTGCGGCTGACGCAAACAGCCTGGCGCTGGAGCTGCGCTGCTCACCTGATAGTTCCTGAACCAGATCCTGTGCTCAGCGATGGTGAAGCTCAGAACGTGATCCACAAACGGCTGACTCTTCGGGTGATACCGAGGTGTCGAGAAGATCTGCAAGAACCACACTCGAGCCGTCAGAACGTGTTCAGTAATTATGAGCCGTGCGAGGAAATTACACACGCATCAGTGTTCAAAACGAACGTGTCTGAAAGCAGTCAGTGTTTCTGTTAATCTGTTTCTCAGCACGTGCTTTAATAATGAACGAGGAGGATCAAACACAGTCGGCTGAGAATGTATTACTACATATCCTCTCCATACACTTCACACACACAGGCCGTGATGTGCACATAATTCAGTCATTCTGCAGCAAAAACTGAAAGAGGAATTAATGTTGAAATAAACCTGAGTGAAGAGCTCCTTCAGCAGCGCGTAATGCGGCTCCTTGTCAAATTTCTATGAAATGACAGACAAACATCATCATCGTCATCATCTTCATCATCAGTCACACACGCGTGTGATCCGCAAGCGTGTTCCACTCACCGGGTCGAAGGACAGCAGCGGTCTGGAGCCTTTCAGACAGTTTCCGGTCATTTTCAGCTCAGCCAGAGTGTGAACTACAAACACAAAATCAGTAATCGTTACATCGAAACAAGAGTTCAGTGTGAAATCATTTCAGAACTCAAGACTTTCTCCTCAGTCTCTAAAAACAGCAGAACTGTGACAGCTCATTAACATAATCACCCACATCTACATCAATCATGCAGCAACCTGAGCCAATCATCGCAGAGCTCATTTACATATAAATATCCTAAAGGCCCAGCTGTTTAATTAAGAGAGAGGAATGAAGAAGAGTTGAATAAATGACAACTGTTGGATTCACACAACATTAGCAGACCAGTCGACTACAGTGAATAAACTGACATTTAGTCATTATTAATATAAAAAGCACACATGACATGATCTAGTCTAAACTTGTCAAATAACTGAATGAAAGAAATCGCACCGTTCTGTACGAGGAACTTGGCCGACGGTCCGTGAGGGACGTTTGAGATCCTGTAAGAGAAGAGCAGATGAGATCTCAGCACACACCGCTGACTCATGATGTTCCTATTATTATTATTATTATTATTATTTCTGACGTCTCACTGACATGTCGCTCACCACATATAAAGATCCTGTTTCTTCTTGGCTTCAAAGAAGATGCATTTATTGCAGTTTTTGATTTCACACACCTGAAACACAGCAGCCGTTAGAATCAGACGTCAAAACACGAATCACGAGACTACAGAACGCTTTCTGCTCAAGTACCTCGTTCACCACAAAGAGCTTGTCTTTTCTGTCCATCTTGGTGTCTGGAAGAAAACAAAGCCAGAGTGATATTTGATTGATTGTCTGGTTAGTGCTGGTTTAGCTGGTTAGTGCGGCCGGTCTGATGTGGTTTACCAGCTTTGCTGTGTGGCATCATGGTCCGCAGATCCATCATCAGGTGCCTCGTCCTGAAGCTGATCCCACGAGAAGAAAACACCAACACTCGCTCCTTATTCGTCCATTTGCCCTGAAGAACATGAATATGAATAAGATTATACACATGACACTGGTTTACACTAATACACACTAATATACACACAAACTAAAATACACACACACTAAAATACACACGCACACACCAAAATACACACGCACACACCAAAATACACACGCACACACCAAAATACACACGCACACACCAAAATACACACGCACACACCAAAATACACACGCACACACCAAAATACACACGCACACACCAAAATACACACGCACACACCAAAATACACACGCACACACCAAAATACACACGCACACACCAAAATACACACGCACACACCAAAATACACACGCACACACCAAAATACACACGCACACACCAAAATACACACGCACACACCAAAATACACACGCACACACCAAAATACACACACAGCACACACCAAAATACACACAAGCACACACCAAAATACACACACGCACACACCAAAATACACACACGCACACACCAAAATACACACGCACACACCAAAATACACACGCACACACCAAAATACACACGCACACACCAAAATACACACGCACACACCAAAATACACACGCACACACCAAAATACACACGCACACACCAAAATACACACGCACACACCAAAATACACACGCACACACCAAAATACACACGCACACACCAAAATACACACGCACACACCAAAATACACACGCACACACCAAAATACACACGCACACACCAAAATACACACACACCCACACCAAAATACACACACACCAAAATATACACACACCCACACCAAAATACACACACACACCAAAATATACACACCCACACCAAAATACACACACACCCACACCAAAATACACACACACACCCACACCAAAATACACACACCAAAATACACACACACACCCACCCACACCAAAATACACACACACACACACTAAAATACACACACACTGGATATTCTGTGTAGTTTAACGCGCATGTGGATATTCTGTGTAGTTTAACGCGCGTGTGTGTGGATATTCCGTGTAGTTTAATGCACGTGTGTGGATATTCCGTGTAGTTTAACGTGCGTGTGTGGATATTCCGTAGTTTAACGCACGTGTGTGTGGATATTCCATGTAGTTTAACGCGAGTGTGTGAGGATATTCCATGTAGTTTAACGCGCGTGTGAGGATATTCCATATAGTTTAACGCGCATGTGTGCGGATATTCCATGTAGTTTAACGCGCGTGTGTGTGGATATTCCATGTAGTTTAAGGCGCGTGTGTGTGGATATTCCATGTAGTTTAACGCGCGTGTGTGTGGATATTCCATGTAGTTTAACGCGCGTGTGAGGATATTCCCCATGTAGTTTAACGCGAGTGTGTGAGGATATTCCATGTAGTTTAACGCGAGTGTGTGAGGATATTCCATGTAGTTTAACGCGAGTGTGTGAGGATATTCCATGTAGTTTAACGCGAGTGTGTGAGGATATTCCATGTAGTTTAACGCGAGTGTGTGAGGATATTCCATGTAGTTTAACGCGAGTGTGTGAGGATATTCCATGTAGTTTAACGCGCGTGTGTGAGGATATTCCATGTAGTTTAACGCGAGTGTGTGAGGATATTCCATGTAGTTTAACGCGCGTGTGTGAGGATATTCCATGTAGTTTAACGCGAGTGTGTGAGGATATTCCATGTAGTTTAACGCGCGTGTGTGAGGATATTCCATGTAGTTTAACGCGAGTGTGTGAGGATATTCCATGTAGTTTAACGCGCGTGTGTGAGGATATTCCATGTAGTTTAACGCGAGTGTGTGAGGATATTCCATGTAGTTTAACGCGCGTGTGTGAGGATATTCCATGTAGTTTAACGCGCGTGTGTGAGGATATTCCATGTAGTTTAACGCGAGTGTGTGAGGATATTCCATGTAGTTTAACGCGCGTGTGTGAGGATATTCCATGTAGTTTAACGCGAGTGTGTGAGGATATTCCATGTAGTTTAACGCGCGTGTGTGAGGATATTCCATGTAGTTTAACGCGAGTGTGTGAGGATATTCCATGTAGTTTAACGCGCGTGTGTGAGGATATTCCATGTAGTTTAACGCGAGTGTGTGAGGATTGTGTGGATATTCCGTAGTTTAACGCGCGTGTGAGTGGATATTCCGTGTAGTTTAACGCGCGTGAGTGGATATTCCGTGTAGTTTAACGCACGTGTGAGTGGATATTCCGTGTAGTTTAACGCACGCGTGAGTGGATATTCCGTGTAGTTTAACGCACGCGTGTGTGGATATTCCGTGTAGTTTAACGCGCGCGTGTGTGGATATGCTGTGTAGTTTAACGGGCGTGTGTGTGGATATGCTGTGTAGTTTAACGCGCGCGTGTGCGGATATGCTGTGTAGTTTAACGCGCGCATGTGTGGATATGCTGTGTAGTTTAACGCACGCGTGAGAGTGGATATTCCGTGTAGTTTAACGCACGCGTGAGAGTGGATATTCCGTGTAGTTTAACGCGTGTGTGAGTGGATATTCCGTGTAGTTTAACGCACGCTTGTGTGGATATGCTGTGTAGTTTAACGCGCGCGTGTGTGGATATTCCGTGTAGTTTAACGCGCGTGTGAGTGGATATGCTGTGTAGTTTAACGCACGCGTGTGTATATTCTGTGCGGTCTCTGGTGTAGGTGTGTGTTTTACCGTGCTGACGGGCGGCGGGACGCTGATGATGTTTTTATTCGCTTCTTCTTCATTCTCCAGGGTAAACGTCACGGTCTTCGGTTTTCTCTCGGTTTGTGGCGTTTTATTCCCGGTTAATTTCGCTCGTTTCGTCTTCTTTTGTGCCGCTCGCTCCGCTGCACGTTTTCCTCCGCGCGCCGCCATCTTTCTCTCACACGTCACCGGAAGCGGAAACGCACTCATCAAACAAGCGTGATACACTGTAGCAATGTGACACAATGGACTCTCGGTTTAATGAAGACACAGTAGAAGAAATGAACGAGGATGCTGATGAAGATGAGGAAGAAACGAAGGAGAGAGATGAAGATGGTGATGATGAAGGGGTTTCAGTGCTTTCTGGTCTTCCCGCGGAGAAGAGCGAGAGACGCCAGACCTGCTCCGGAGTGTGGAACAGAGTTTTATATTCTGTTTATCAGTCCCGTCTCTCTAATAAAATCAGAAAAGACTTTAGTATTTATTTCACTTGACCATCTTATTAAAACCTTAAAATATAATTCTTGAATTCCATTTTTCCTTATTTCTTGTTCGTACTTTCTAAATTCAAGAAATAAATGAGGTATTGTTCCTTCAACATAACATTGTTCACATAACCCATTTGGATGTTCCCGTTATTTAAAGTGTGCTATTTAAATTTGAGTGCCCTAACAATATTCTGTTATAGATAACCTCTTCTTTCCTTGATTTACCTACACACTTTATATTTTGATTTACTTTGTTTATTAAACTGTACAGAAATCTACCCTTTTCTCCATTATTCCACTTAACTTGCCATTCTTCAATCACTTTACTCCAGATTAAAACCTTAATCTCTGATCGTCTGTCTCTGTAAAGCTTGTTTGGATCATTTATCCACCTCTTCATTGCCCTTTATTCCTGTGTGTGCTGGGACCCATATAAAACTGATTGATGTATCATTTTGAACAATTCTTGAATGTATTTGTAGGATACTAAAGAGAATGTCTTGGTGATTAGATTTAAAGGATCTCAAACTCTTGAAACTGAGTCAGAACAAATTAAAACATCCTCAGGTTTGTGTTCCTCTACCCACTGCAATATGCCAAGAGTATTGCTATCATTTCTACAGTATAAACTACCAAATGATTTGAAGTTCGCTTTACTCCACTGATCCACTGTCTAACACAAACTCTCACACTCTCACACACACACACACTCTCACACTCTCACACACACACACTCTCACACTCTCACACACACACACTCTCACACTCTCACACACACACACTCTCACACTCTCACACACACACACTCTCACACTCTCACACACACACACTCTCACACTCTCACACACACACACTCTCACACTCTCACACACACACACTCTCACACTCTCACACACACACACTCTCACACTCTCACACACACACACTCTCACACTCTCACACACACACACTCTCACACTCTCACACACACACACTCTCACACTCTCACACACACACACTCTCACACTCTCACACACACACACTCTCACACTCTCACACACACACACTCACACACACACACACACTCACACTCTCACACTCTCACACACACACACACACACACACACTCACATCAGCCTAAGACTTGGTAACTGCTCGTTAGTTCTTAAGGCAGTCTTAAGACCGTGAGTAAGTTTATGAGCTGCTGGCTGGTTGTGTGCTTGCAGATATACAGCTGAAGGAATCGTAGCGGATCGTGGACTACATCCGTCCCGGAGCATGCAGACTGGACTGGGAAAGAATGATCCCTTCAATGGAGATCCTGCAGACGCTGGAGCAGGGGAACATGCGTCTGCGTCTGCGTCTGCGTCGCCACGTTAATGTACAACAGTGAGTGACTCGTTCATGTCGTGTTGACCGCACATGCGCAACATCATTCAAAGACGTGCATTTATTGCTTGGATGGACCTTGTAACATATACTGCAGTCAATTATAAACAGTAGAGAGTGTCATTCTGGTTTTGTGAAGAAATTTTATAAAAGAAAACATTATATAATGCTACCTGTTGTTAGTGTTTTTTAGGTTGTGTTATGAATGATAAAGTGTGTTTGTTTGCTAGTGTTCTGTTAGAATGAGGCATTAATGAAGTGTTTTGGTAGTTTTAGTGCATTTTAATGTGAAATTAACTGCTGTGTCAGGTTGAAAGATGGTTAGGAGAACTGTGTGAAGAGTTTTGAAAAAGTGACTTTAGTATTTAGAAATGTGTCAATCTAGTGATTGTAAAAACCGTAAACACGCACACTCCTACAGCTTCCCCTGACAGATGAGAAAGACTGACGACAGATTTATTCACTGATTTTGTAACATGTAAATGAAGCTGCTTTGACAGGAATAATTGTACTTGTTTGTTTCTGAAGGCATGCACCAGCTCCGTGACGTTGGAGATGCTCAGTGGGAAGGAGAGATGCGGGCCAGTGTAGACGTCTGGAACCTCAGTGTGCTTATAACAGAAGCGTCTCTCCCACTCCGTGTCCTGAGACACCTCGCTCTCGCCCAACATCTGAGAGACCAGATTGCCTGAAGGAGACGCATGTGTCAGTCTGTTCAGTTACCCTGAGCACTTCATCAGATCAGACACAGCTGAAGAACTTGCTTCTTTCTTCGGCTGTTGGCAGAACTGAAATGATCCATCAGGTAACCGAAGAAATTATACAGCTGCAGAGACACAAACAGCATGAGCGTGTTTCATGTGCAGAAATATCAACAAGACTTTTAGTGCAATAACAGGCCTCTGTGACTGTAAATCTGTGCTTCATTACTCCTGGTGAGACGTATCTGAGGAGAAGATCCGTGTTGTTTCACCTTGATATGATCCTGTTGTCCAGAATACTCTATCGACTGAAAGATGTTCCAGGTGCAGCGGCGTCTCATCTCCAGCCGCGCCACATACTGACGGTACCAGCGCTGGATGAGCAGCGCCGCCCGCATCGCATCATACAGACAGAGAAAGACAGACAGACAGACAGACGAGAGAAAGTCAGGCCAGCAGGAGACATGAGTGACGGTGATGTTTCTTTAGACTCACAGAAACATGTGATCCGTCTGACCTGTAGCTGCTGCATGTGAGAGAAACCAAGAAAAACAGTGTCATTAACACTCACTGACAACAATGAGACTTACTGAAATAAATGAGGAGGAATTACCTGGAACGGAAATGTTTCCTACAGACAGACACGACAGAGACAAAGACAGACACAGAGCAATGTGAGCTGTTTCTCAGGCAGATATTCAGCTGAAAGCTCTGAATTTTTTAATCATCTTGTGGTTCACGCACCGCGATCGCATGGTTTCAGCTGCAGTTGGTTTGATTTCGTGACTCCGCATCCCATGTCATGTTAGTCAGCTGTAAGTACACCTATGAATTCATTCATGTTTCTGATTCTGCTGATCTGAATTTCACTTTTAAACAATTATACATAATTCCCATCACATCAAAGAAAATCAGAAATAATGTGACCCATCCTCTTAGTTTGATTAATTGTTAAACCTGTTTTGTACAGAGTAGTTTAGCTCTAATTCTACAAAAGACCTCCAGCCACTGTGCTTTAGAAAACAGCAAGAGAACGCCACACTCACCTGCTGAGGGTTTGTCAGAATCCCTCCATGACAGCAGAGCCTATGAAGAAGTGTGACCAACTTCACTCTCAATGAACCTGTAGAGAGAGACAGATGGTGAGATATGGAGCTGATCCGCGTGACCACTTCATCAAAACAACATGCTGCGGCTGGATTAGGGTTAATACTGCGGCTCGGCTCCAACCCAGAATAGACAGATAAAGAGCTGCTAAAGGCCTCCGTGCGTTTGAGCCTGTTACTCTGCTGTTCAGAGCTGACGTCCAACTCAGAACGCTGAACACGGCCACATGAATTAGTTTTTTAATGTTTGTCATTGGCAAACAGACCAGTTCTCCCCGTTCATCACTGGTATATTTAATAGGCTTTATTATAAAAGCAACTGAATTCTACCAGATTTGATCTATTCTGAGTTATCTATTCAAATCATGAGCATATAAATCTACTGTGACGGGACTGAAATAATACGGCACACTATAAGCACATCTTCAGAATAGGGGTTAAAAGTGTATGGGTTTTGACTAATAGGTGAATAAGGTTAGGGTTACGCCAGAAAACACCATTTCTTGAGGTTAGCAGTGAATGAAATGATATTATAAGTTGTCCTCAAATGGCACCGATTCCTCAGAACGGCAGATAAACTGTTGATTGCCGTTCACACGCAGGTGTTGGAATTCCTCCTGACGCAAGGGAGTTACAGCGCGACGGCCTCAAGGACAAACACGGCCCGCGCTGCTTTGATTCAGTTCATCTGAGGTCAGAAGAGAAACTACAGATGCTACAACAATGTCAAGCTTTGTATTTCTCATGTGAAATGACCTGCGGAGTCAAATAAATATCAGAAAATATGCTTCTCATGTTTAAACATTGACTGATTAGTGATCAATAACCCAGCTTTAACCCCCAGTCCTGAACATGCGCTCGCAGTCTTGTAAAGTGTTACTAACCCGCTACATTATTTTAGGCCATCGCAATGAGTCAGGAATCCACTGGAAATTCATGTCAGCTGATACAATACAATACAACTTTATTGTCAACCCCAATGGTTGAAAACTGTCTTTGACCACACCATTGCCCTCAAACATACATAACATTAAAACCACACAGATATAAAAAAACATATCAGATCGTTCCACCTTAGTGTTTTGATTCAAATATCCAATTACTGCAGGTATAAATGAATTCTTATAGATGATTCTCTCTGCCCTGGGCATTAAATAACGTCTTCTAGAAGGCAATAAGACAAACTGATCATTCAAAGGATGAGTAGCATCTTTCAAAATGCACTCAGCTTTCCTAACACAACTTGTTATTATGCCTCTTATTAAGAAACCACAACTAGATCCTAGTGAACTGGCAAATTGCAGACCCATTTCAAATCTTTAGTTTATTTCTCAAATTTTAGAAAAAGTTGTCTGCTCAATTGTGCTCCTTCCTGCAAAAATGATATCTGTGAAGAATTTCATCATAGCACAGAAACTGCACTTGTTAAAATTACAAATGACTTGCTTCTTGCGTTATCACTTTGTCTATTTAATCAGGGAATCATCTCAATTAAATCCAGTAAAGTATGGAGTGCCACAAGGATCTGTCCTAGGCCCTCTGATATTTTCAATATACATGTTGCCCCTTGGTAATATTATTAGAAAATATGGGATTAGTTTCCACTGTTATGCTGATGATACTCAACTATATATCTCAACAAGACCAGACGAAACTTCTAAATTATCTAAGCTAACAGAGTGTGTTAAAAATGTAAAAGACTGGATGACCAATAATTTTCTCCTATTAAATTCGGGACAGAGATATTAATTATTGGACCAAAAAACAGTACACAGAATCTCGTAGATTACAATTTGCAACTAGACGGATGTACTGTTACTTCCTCTACAGTCAAAAATCTTATATTAGACAGCAACTTGTCACAAATCATACTTCCCATGTTACAAAAACAGCATTCTTCCATCTTAGAAACATTGCCAAGCTACGAAACGTTACCTGTTTCTGATGCAGAAAAGCTAGTTCATGCATTCATGACCTCTAGACTGGACTATTGTAATGCA